ATTATATCCAAAGTTCTGGCTGAAGTTATGGAATAGTGCTGGCCGAAATTAAGCGAATTCATACTGCATCTTATTGCATTATAGTCACATAATATCATTCTGATGCCGGAATATCCTTACATAGTTGCTTCCCTCTCAATTGTCATTTCTTGATTGCCGGATGAGGCACGAAGTGCTGAATTTGCAATCCATCTATTTGCTAAAAATGTATTGCAATCTATTCACCCACTTTTTGATTGCCGGTGAGGCACATGCAAAGTGTTTAGTGTTGTACCATTCTTGCAATCCCACCTTTTATAGCCTATTTGATTGCTGAGGATGAGGCACGAAGTGCCGAATTGGTTCAAAATTTACATCTTTCATACTCTTTTTTCGTGTATTCTTCTGAGTCTTTTCACCTTTCTGACCTCTTTTTTGCCTATCATCAGTGGCCCCCAAAAGCATAATTTTTTATTTTCTTTCCTATATATAATTCTACCTTTGGGGACCACCAAATTTATATCCTAGCTTTCGCCCGAGTCTTCTTAGAACTCTTTCCCGTATAATCTTACTTCAGCGTACCTCTATGCCTGATTACTTTGGGCTATTATTGTATCGATTACTTTTGAATACTACAACTAACCCAGTGTTTTGCCAGCAAGCGTATTCGCTCAAATTTACTATTTTGAAGATTTGGTATTTTCTATATAATTTTATATTAACTTCCTCCACATACCTATCATGCTACTTACACAAAAAAATTTCGAACCCAATCTTGAAGAGATACATGAAGCAATAAGACTCTTTTCAGGTGTAGCAGACCTTGATTTTGAGCCGGGCTATATTGATCATATGTATTTCCAATATTTGTCTAATAGTAAAGATGATATCGCTCTTCTAGACACCTATCATCCTGAAGAGATTTTTGATAAATATATCATTCGGGTAGCAGATAAGGGCTTTACAGTTGTTGATCACCTATCTGAAGTTTATGGATTATCTGATTTTCATGAATGTATCAATGGGAACCTACCTCTTCGCCTTGTTCTGAATATTGATGCGAGGCAGAAGCCTGATTCCACGAATCCCGAACTTCACTCTTTAGATAGATATAAAATTTCTCGTAATGATTTATTATCCAGAATCTTAATTGCCAGCGTCGATATTTTATACTCTGATTTAAAACATCTTATAACTTTAAATGCTTTTGCTTTAGCTAATTCGTCTAATGATAATAAATGCTGTTAGCATATTGTATATTCTGATGCCTACTTTATTGACTATAGAGATCTCAGGGGTTTTGTAGAATAAGTTGCAGATAGGGTTGGAAAACCATATTCTGAATTTATAGATCTTACGCTTTACAAATCACGTTTTAGTCTTCGACTTCTTGGATCGGCAAAGGGAGATAAAATCAAAAGACCTGCAATTTCTTCAGTTAAGAAAGAATATCGCAAGCTAGAGGATTATTTGGTTCAACCCAAATTTTATTGTTCTGAAATCTGGCCTCAAACCTTTTCTTCTGAGAAGCCAAAAAGAGAAGAGAGATTTCAGCCTATCGAAGATGAAACTGTCTTAAGCAAGAGAGCTGGTTTAGTTACGGCAAAATATGAATGGCTTGAAGTGGGTAGCATTAAGAAGAGATTTGTCAACTTCCAAGCAAAGTCATATAAAACATGTCCTATTTGCGAAATCAAACATAAAAGGGATCAGTTATATAGCTTTCTTCGAAGTGATGGGTGCTTTGTACTCAGATGCTATCGGCAGAAACAATACAAACCTGATTATAGAGGACTGGCATTTGGAGAAGCATCAAACATAATCAAGCCAAAAGAAAAACCTAAACAAAAAATTATTGATAGAATAGCCAATGCTATAGCAAAACCACGCTCACTTTCTGAACTATATGGAGAAGTTATTAATGTAAAGGAAATGGAAGATTTTCCAGAAGCTTATCCCAATTTCTTAAGTGAAGAGCCCAGTATAACTTTAATTCGCTCTCCTATAATGATGGGAAAAACAAAAGGGTTAAGAAAGCATATTAATTCCTTAGCCAAAAGTAAAGTTAAATTACCTTGCATTATCTGGATTTCTTATCGAAAAACTCTTAGTAATGAATTGCAGGGCAAAATTAATGATCTTAAATCATCTGGACTCAGAATCTGTAACTATCAAGACAAACCAAACTTATCTGTAAATAAATGGGATATTATCATAGTCCAAGTTGAGAGTCTTTCTCGTATCGAATTCTCAGCCCGCCCACTAGTAGCTATTTTAAATGAAACCAATGTGATTCTCCGCCAAATGAGTAGTGATGCAAATGCATGGGAATCTGAAAACGCAATGCGTGATATATTAAGAACAGCCTAGCATGTATTAGCAATGGATGCCTTTGCGAATGCATCAACTCTAACCTTTCTCAAAGCTTATTGCGGTGAAAATATTCGAGTGATTGATAATAAATTTCAGCCTCTTGTAGATAAAACTGTTAAGTATTTTTATGATCCAAATAGCGAGACTGAAGCTATGCGAATAGGATATGAGTTATTACAGCAAGGCAAGCACGTGGCATTTGTTCTAACAAGTTGTCATATGGCCCGAGCATTAGTAGAAAAAGCCTCTAAATTGCAAAAGCCTGATAATTCTCACATCAGAGCCTGTGCTTATTATGGAGATATAGACGGAAAACAGCGAAAAAAAGACTTCTCAGATATAAATACTGCTTGGGGTGAGCTTGATTGCGTAGCCTATATAAGTACAATAGAAGCAGGTATTTCTTTCGAAAAAACTAATCACTTTGATGCGGTTATAGGCATTACAAATATTACAACTCCGGTTAATATCGAAGCATTTATCCAGATGATGTTTCGAATTCGTAATTATAAAAAGCAAATACTATCCTTCTATTATCAAAAAAATTCCAGTGATCTTTTTCGCCCACCAGGTTACGAAAATATTCGTGCTGAGCTTGAGAGTGCTCGGCCTAATAATTTGCCTACAGCAATAAGAGGGTATCGTGAATTGGATAAAAATATTGTATCATATAAACTTGATCAATCACCTGCCGTAATATCATACCTTGAAGTTGAACATCAAAAACGTTTTTCTGCAAGAAATTTTATTGAGATATCATGCAGTCTTATAGCTAGTACAGGCGCTTCTCTTCAACTTATAAAAATGGATGAAAGCCGAGATGTTATAAGGAATTGCAAAATAATCCGTAATGAGGTTAGAGTTGAAGCATTAGTTATCAAGGAATCCGATTTTGATGCGGTTGCTACTTCCCAGAATCTCAGTCCTGAAGAAGCTGAAAATCTTAAGTTTGACCAAGAGCACTCTATCCCAGATACTATGGCACTTAAACGTTTCTATATGCGAAATATTTATGGTGATAAAGATATGAGTAATGATGACTGGAATAATCTTTGCAAAAAGAAGTTCATAGAACGTTTTAGCCCACCTGAACCTCGAAAACATTTTCTGCGCTTATCTCATCTTTTGAGACAAGGATGCGATGAAGATAGTGCAATAGAAGGTTTAGTTGCTAAAGACTTTGCACAGTGGGAGGATATCTGTTTTAAAGCTGAAAATAATTTTGAAAAATCTGTAGCAGAAGACTTGCGAAAAACTTATTCAGCAAATCATTGGA